ACCCAGTGTCCATGGGAATATAAAGCTGGGAGTCCTGAAATACAGCCAGCCCGCAGCTGCTCCAAGTCCAGACTCTCCCTGGTGTGGGTCAGAGCACTCACTTCAGGGGATGCAGCAGGCGCCCGGGCTGGAGTCACTTACCCACTGTTGCAGCTCACAGGATCCACTAGCCCGATCCATTCCAGCTCTGTATTTGTAAGGCAGGAGCCAGGGAGAAAGTGCAGATTGCCCCTTCTTTTTTCTGTGTTACATTCTGTCTCTGCAGTTTTTTGATAGGCCACAACTGTCAGCTTCTTTCTGGGTCCCAGGATTCTACCTCCTGCCTTCTTTTCTTCCCCAAGTTATTATTTTTCAGTGTCTGGGTTCCAGATCCCAGAGAGGCTGATTTGTTGCTGCTTACTGCTTCACCATCTTCCCAGAAGTCCTCCACTTTTTTGTTTTTGAGATTTACTCTTGCTGTGTTGCCCAGACTGGCTCCTAACTCCTAGGCACAGGCAGTCCTATTGCCTCAGCCTCCTGAGTACCACTACATTCAGTTCAAAACTTGTATTGCATTCTAAATATATGACTTTTATCTGTCAGTCATACACAAGAAAGCTGAGGGGAAAAAACAGTGTACCCTGATGGTTTCCTTTTGCCACAGCTGGAGTGCCCTGATCCTCAGTCTTCATGTTAGAAAACATAGTAACAACCTTCATCACTTCAATCTCCATGATGAGACATTCTGTGTCTTGCAAACAAAAGCATTCCTAGTAGTCACCTCTGGTTCTGCAGCCCGGCCAGCATAAGTTCTGCTGATTATTCCACCCAATAGCTTTGTAGCCCATTAACTTCTGCACAAGAGGGGTACAGATACCTGCTTCACCACCAGCAAACCCTCTGATTCACAGATCATTGTGGTCTATGCACCAGCAAATTGTTATCCCCTAAATTTGTTTGAATGGTCAACTTTCAGGCCCCCATCCTAGCCGTACTCAATTAGAAATTTCATGGCTGGACCCAGAAATCTGGTTTCTAAAACAACACCCAGAGAACCTGGTGGATGAGAGGTTAGAGAGTCACATGCTGCAGTGGCTGCTGTCAGAAACGTGAACACTAACACGTCTCAGACTCCACCTCCTCTCGTTCTGCTCACATTTATGCGATGTACCCTATAAATTAATGTGTATCTCCCTAAAGGTCTGAGTACAGGCAGATGTGGGAACCACTGAAATGGCTGTGAATGCAGGCCATGCGTACCTAGGGCTGTCAGCTGAGTGAGGGCTGAGGAATGGACCTGGGGCCTCTGGGGACAGCAGAACTAAATTTCAGCTTTGTCTCCCTGGTGTGTGAGGAAGGTGCTTGGTAGGTGCTTAGCAGCCTTCTCCAGTCCTCAAATCTCAAGGACACCAGCTGAGAAAGGTCTTTGCAGATCTGGATGCAACAAGCAAACATGGTATTAGTAAAGAGAGGCATGAGCCATGGGTAGAAGAGACTAGGATTTTAGACAGGCCTCTGAAGCAGCCTCTCCATCCGCCACAGCCAGACGCAGCAAATCCAAAGCAGATGTTCTTTTTTGCTTTTTACCAGGTTGATGAGGCAGAAGGTTTGCACTTCAGATGTTCATTTATAGAGTGCTAGACGACACCTGTTTTGTGCTAGGCTAGTGCTCTGGGGGTGGTTTTGTTTAGAAAATATTATTTTTAAATAACACCCAGGCTCCGTATTCCCATTGTCTTAAGGTGCTAGCCTTCTATACTGTGTTGCTTTTTGGGAATCAAACCTTCAGCAGAAGCAGCTACATGGTACTGTACTCTCTAAAGATGATCTTAGGGGCTGAGCAAGTAGCTCAGTGGTACCGCTGCCTGCCTCACAAGCACAAGGTCCTGAGTTTGATCCCCAGTAGCAAAAATTAAAAATAAAAATAAAGAAGACCTTAGCCTCATCCATCCCTTATCTTTGTCCTTGTACTACAGAGGCCATTCTGTCTTTCCCAGGTCCACATGTCCTTTCTAGGACACTGCTGCCACTTTCCAGGGCCTCCACGCCCCACCCACCTCAGAGAGTGAGTGTAGGAATCCAGGGTTCTGCACAACAACGCAATCACCCCTCCAGTCACTTTGGAAGGTGAAGATGACAAGATATCCGGTCACCATTCTGAAATTCAGTAAATAAAAAAGAGGACATTAAGCTTTTATCCTTTTCCTAGATGAACTGTACCTTGGGCTCATCAAATCATTGATGAAAGTTTGACTTTGTAGCAGTTTATTAATAAAGAAGGAAAAAATTAAAAGATCACCATTTTGCAAACCCTGATGAATGAATGGCTCTAGGACAAGATCATCAATGGCTGTCAGTATCATAAAAAGAGTGCCAAGAAGAAATTTGTGACACCACCCATAAAGTCTTCCCCCCAAAATGAACTTTAACTAAAGTCTGTATAGACTAAAAGAAATATAAGGGACAGAGGACATTTTAAACACTACCACCAGAACAGTGGAAAATGGTGAGATCCATTTTTTCCAATATATTGCCTGGGAAAATGAGATAGGAAGCAAATCCTGTGGATTAAATGAGACTCAAGGGTCATGTTAACCGATGCTGATGTGTGGACCTTGTTTGGGTCCAGACTGAAGAAACTTCTAAAAGATTACAGGACAAATAAGGGAATGAGAGCAATGTTTGGATATTTTATGGTATTAAATTGCAGTTGACTCGGGTGGTAAAGTGGTATGGTTGTCTTTCAGCAGGAGCCCTTCTTAGAGCTACATAATGAACATTTACAGGTGGATGAAGTGATACCTGGGATTTAGTTCAAAATAATCTTAAGGGTTAGGGAATGGGCAGGCATATGGAGAAAACAAGACTGTGAAGAGCTGATAACTACTGGAGTTGGGTGATAGGGAACTGGAGATCTATTACACAATTCCTTGCAATTGTATACTTGAAACAATCCTTCCTAAAAGTAAAATTTAAACTATTTTTCATCATTTTTATGTCTACTCTTTATATATATTTTACATCAGCTGTAATAAGTGCACAGTTCATGTTTATTATATTTATAAGTATAGGTTTATCAATTTTTCTTTGTTCCTTGCTATTTAGGGGAAGCAAAAACTTTGGGGTTTTTGTGTCTCAACCCTGCCTGGCTAGACTGGAGGGTCCATGAACACAGGGGCTTTCCTACTGAGTCCTTCAGGGCTAGTGCCTAGTGTCACATATCAAATACTTGCTTGTTAAGACACATTTCTGGGAGGGAACATTGCCCACCCAGCCTCTAGTCCTGGACCTTAATCCTGGCTTCACTGTCTGTTGAGGTTAGACGATGCACATGACCCATCTTAATCCTGAGAAGGCTTTGCTAACTTGAGAATGTATGAAGAAAACAAACAAACAAAAAGATGAGACTGGTTAAATCTACATTGTGGAATGGATAATTTTATAATGTTTTGCTGTGCAATTAAAACACAATCACAAATTCCACAGAGGAGAGTTCCGTGTTTAATGTTTAGACCCTCCTCCCTGAGGTCCACTGGGGCAAACTAAAACCATTAGTAAGGTCCAGATTTTCCCTGGTGTTGCCCTGACTCTGTGCTTTTTTTACCCCTCACCCATAAAACCTCTGGTATAGAAATAGTTGGTGGCTTTCTGTATTGAGTTCCTTCTGATTTTAGAGAGCTCCCCCTCTCCTTTTTTCAGTGGCTCCAAATTCAGGCCTTCTCGGATTCCTCAGAGGTCTTTAGCATGTACTCTGGGTTCTCTTTGTTACACAGAGCTTGGTATACTGACATTCTGTGCCCTAGAGCTTCTCAGCCTGCAGTAATTTGCCTGTGAAAACTACCCACTTGTTAGTCTTCCTAGCTGAAATGCCCCTCCACGCTGAGGGGAGAAAGGGTTTTATCCTACATTGATTTCTTAGAGGAGCAGCAGTTTGTGGTAAAATGCAACTTACAGAAGGACTGCACCTTCTAGTCGCCTCGTTAAGACTTGTTCACAGCCATCCAAACCAGGCTCCATCCCTATCTGTGTACTCTCTGCTGGGTTGTGCTGTCTCCCAGGTGACTTCTGGATGGTACTGTTGGGTTGGTTGAAAAAATATATTCTGTTACCTAGGTCAGATTTCAGGAGACAGTCTTATATTCAGCCATTCGGGTGCTTGGATTGTGCCCAGGCTCAACATCCTGAGGAGTTTTAATTTATGAAAACATCATATTTACAATAACGAAAGGCAGTACTGATGTTGAACTTATCATGTGTGCATTCTATTCTACGTGCCTTACACACACTATGTCATTGGGTTCTGTTACTGTCCCCATTTTATGGATGGGGAAGTTGAGGGCAGAAGGGGTAAGTCTGGCTCCCATGACAGTCTGCCTCCACAGTCTGTCCTCTTAGCTGCCCTGCTGCCTCTCATTGAAGACCCAGTTGAGAGGCACAGAGAAAAGCCTAGAAGAATAAAGAGACAGACTACAGGTTATGTTGCCTTTGGGGCCATGAGAGCTTGGTGGAAAGTACTGTGGATAAACAGTCAGAAAACTGGTTTCCTTCCATTATCTCTGTGTGACACACACAAAAAAAGTCACTTTGAGGTGAATTCTGAGCTTGGTGTGGGCACACACCTGTAATCCCAGCAGCTCAGAAGGTTGAGGCAGGAGCATTGCAACTTCAAAGCCAATCCAAGCTGGGCAATTTAGCAAGACTGCCCCCCTCAAAGTAAAAACAATATTATTAAAAAAGGGAGGGAGGGATAGAAAGAAAATGAGAATGAAAGAGAAAGAGAAAGGAAAAGAGAGGGAGGAAGAGAAAGGAAATTACTTTTTCACTCTGGTTCCATCTTCTCATCTCTTAAAAAAGGAAAAACCATGCCTATTGTTATCCCTCTCCTGGGTTATTGGAAGAATCTATTCAACATTACTGTGCAGAAAAGTGGGGAAAAGTTCTAAGCACTTCTGATTTTAGATGTGCTCAGGAGAACTTCAGATTAGCATCTGAAGGTAATAAATTCCTATTTTTGTTTTCAGGGCACTATTTTTGTACGTGTCTTATGGAAGCTGCACTTGGAAATGCTGACAGCAGGCTTTAGGACACCTGAGCCCCGCTAGACATAAGGAACCCATGGCCCTGGTGGCACCTTTCAACATGACAGATCCACAGTGAGTACCGTGGGACCTGCTCTCTGAGTCAGGAATGGTGTCAGTCTCACACAAGACAAGGTCCTTCAATTCAGGCAACCACTATACACAATTCCTTGTATAGATCTTGGCCACAAAAATAAGGAGAACCTTTCAAAAGCAAAGATGGAGAACATTAGGACGTGTCCTGGGATGAATGAACCAAACAGGAATTGCAAGGAAATTTTAAAATCGTGACAGAATTTCTAAAAGAAGGTTCTATGAAAGCAGGGGCAGAGCTCTTAAGGGAGACTTGCTTTCCATTCCCCCAACCTAAGACACAGGGTGGACCAAGCATTTCACCCTCCAAGTACCAGTTTGGTGTAACCAGGTGATTATTTATTTTGTTTTGCTACCCTTTGACAAAAGCACTACTAGGATAAGAATAACAGTCTGTCTGTGATACCATACTCTCCTGACCTCCCTGGCCCTGGGCCCCTGGGCCTGGCTTACACAGCCCCATGCATAATGAAGCCATTATCTATGACCAGTGCAGTGCTTGGGGACAACCAACCTCAGCAAGAGACAACAGTAAATGTCATTCACACGTGTGGACTGCCATTTGGATAGCCCTGCTGATCTCCGTGGGGTGGGGCTGGTCTGGCTGTCTGCCAATCTAGGTGAGACTGGGCTCCGCTCTTCCTTAGCCATGCTAAATCCCTCTCATTTGACATTGGGAGTATAAGAGCACGGGTAGAATTCACCACTGCCTGTCCATACCCCCCGGGCATCATATCCACCAGCATCCTGTTGGCCAACACGAGTCATGTAACTGGAAACAGAGTCCAAGGGGTGGGAAGCAGCTCTTCATTCTGATGAGGGAAATGGCACAGTCACATGGTAAAGGCCTGGGTTTAAGGAGAGGCAGGGAATAGAACCATTAATACATTCTGTTCACTCTACTGATGCTCACCCAAGATGATACTTAGGCCATGAACTGTGAAACTGTCATTCCCACCAAAGGAGGACTCACCTCTGTGCAGAATTGGCTGTGTGACTGGAAATGGAGCTGGGAAACCATGGCCATTGGCAGAAAGTGACTAGGAGGCTGGAAAGTTAGGAAGGCAGAAGTAATTTGTTTTGTGCTTCTGAGAGCCATATTTTGTTAAGCTCATAAACTCGCTTCAGCCCTCCTTGAACTCCCCACTGAGCAGAGCGTCTTGTTTACTTAGTTTAGAAATCCCTAGTTGCTTTGAACATTCCCCAAAAAAAGAGAGCATATTCAACCCAGCATGTACTTTTTGGAAAACATCCAGAGGAGCTGGGATTCCCCCTAAAAACACCCACACTTTTCTATCAATTGTTGAGAAACACAGAAGCTGCACTTCCTCTGTTCTGTCTGAGATTCTTGAGTCATTTTGTAAATGTCACGCAGTGATAAGTGCTATTATCTGTGCTTGACAGGTAGCAAAAAAGCAAAGGTTTAAGTAAGGCCTACAAAAGAAACCCAGGCCACTGGGAATTGCTCGGTGAATACAGACAGCCCAGCAGCTGCCTGTGGTACTCAAATAAGAACTACATTTTCCCCTTCATTATCTAGATGATCCAAGAGAAAGAGAGGCAGGTAGGTTCAGCTCAGAATGTCCTTGAGAGCTCTTGTCACGCGTTGCTGGTTAGGCTTTGGTGGTTGTTAGAAAAGTTTCAGCTCTAGAGGTCCCCATCCATGTGGAGGGCTTATTCCAGAGCTGCTCCAACTTGCTCCAGTCTTCTGTCCATCTCAAACCATAGGATGAGAAGGAATGTCTACCAAGTAGCCTCTGTTCACTTTCTTGAGTTTCACCTAGAGAAACTCAAGCCCAGGAGGAACCCCACAGAAGGTAGCTTTAGGGCTGGCACCAGAAGTCATGAACCTTTTGCAGCAGCCTACACTGCTACCTCCGTGTTAGAACTGAACCCTCGTTACCCAAGACGCTGACCCTCAGTGTTCCCTCAGATATTTCAATTTTACTCTTTACTCATTCATACTATTTTCCTTTCTAATCTTCATTTTTTGGCCAGAAGAATAAGACCCAGCCCCTCAGATTCTACAGGAGGAGATGGAGTGGAGGATTGTGGGAGGACCAGAGATGGCACCTGGGGAGTGAAAGCAAAGTTACCCAGCCAGGGTTCCATTAGTGTTGTGGCAGGACAGTACACAGTGTTAAGTACACTGCAGGGTGTGTTATGTCCCCACCCCGTTCAAGTGTCAGTACTCTAGGGCCACCTCATCCCATGTACACCCGATCTCATCTACATTGTCAGCAGTGACTGCCAGCAGTGCCCCCACAGACTGCCAGGCATCCCTGGTGGTCAGGAAATAGCACTGCCCCTAGCTGGGATGTTCTGGGATGTTCTTCTGCCAGGAGAGCTGTGGGTTATCTACACTGCCCAAAGTGAGCCTACCGTGACATAGGACCTAGGTCACCTCAGACGTCTGGTCAGGTGAACCCCACTTCCTACTCCAATCTTAGAAAGGGCGACCTGGTAAGACCATTTCTAACACGAAGGGAGCAACAACTCCAGCTGTCCCTGGCTGTCCTGTCCTCCTCACTCAAGGCTCCCAAGATCCCTCAAAGTCTCCAGGTAGACTCCCACTGTGCCCAGTGGTAAACAAAGACATCTTTCCCTATCATGGAACAGATGACAGGCATACTCAAGGAACCGTGAGATGATTTAAAAGTATCTACTCCAGTATAAAGTGCAAAGTGCAGTGACCCAGAGTCCTAAAAGTCTAGGCCATGGCCTGGCAGTTGTCACCTGTGTGTCTGCCTTCCCCTGACAAAGGTCCTGGCCCTTGTTAACATTTAGACCTGAGCAATTCCTCTTCCCTTTCTTTCCCAACCTGTGAAGAGGGCACTGGTCAGGGTGTTAGTCCAGTCCCGGGGACACACATGTGACAACCTTGTGCTTCCTCAGCACAGCTGATACTGGTGCTTGCATCTCCTCCTTTCAAGGAACAGAAGCAGGATTTTGGTCTGGGGCCCATCCTTTCCTGTTGTCCCACCAGGCCTGCCATTGAAGGAGGAATTTCCGAAGTCGAGATCATCTCCCAACAAGTAGAAGAAGAAACCAAGAGCCTTGCTCCTGTGCAGCTGGTGAACTTTGCCTATCGGGACTTGCCCCTGGCTGCCGTCGACCTGTCCATGGCGGGCTCGCAGCTCCTGTCAAATCTGGATGAGGAGTACCAAACAGAAGGGTAGGTACCGGGCCGCAGCCATGGAGAAGCAGTTGGGTTCTCCTGCGAGGCATCGTATAGACAAAGTGCTGACTAGTGGGGGACTAGAGGCCCACATCAGCCAACTCAGAAAAAAGGCTTTGGACACAGACTGCACTTGTCATTGTCACAGTCTTTTGCTTCAGGTGACAGCTGCTGGGAACTTAGAGAAGCATAAAATTTGTTTAAGGGCTGGAGTGATCCCTAAGGGCCCTGAAACTCCCTCTCAGTACACCTGTGCAGGACAAGCTCTAGGGTCACACAGCAGCCCAGACTTCTGACTCCCACCAGGGCTTTCCCAGCACCGTCCTGTGGTTTTTAGATGCATCATTACAACCCTGGTTACAAACATGAAGAGTTGCCAGGTGTTTTAGCAGCAAACAAGAAGCCTTAGCTAAACCTAAAATTCCAGAGCTTGGATTCCCTGTACTCGGTCCCTGAGGGCCTCTCCCCATCTGAGGTAGATGGCCCTGCACTCCTTTGTTTACACAGACAATGCCCTGGTGGCATCCTATGAAAGTACAGTATGTCCAGAGCCTCAGGCACAGAGTCAGGGGGACTCAAGAGCAGCTAAGGGGACTGGTAACAGAGCTTACCCCATCCCTGCCACTTGCAGCCCTGGGGTTAGGGTTAGGGGTAAGGGTAAGGTTAGGATTAGGGGTGAGGGCAGGGGTAGAGTTAGAACTATGAGTAAGGGTAGAGTAAGGGTAAGGAAGGGTTACAGTTAGGGTTAGGGACAGGGACAGGGTTGGGACATTAGGTAGGCATGGGGTGGGTCAGGGTTAGGTTTAAGCCTCATGTATATAGGCCAGGTGTCAGGACCCCCACTTTTCCTCACTGCTCCTGGCTGTCCTCTTGGCTTCCAGTTCTTGGGGTCCATCTCTGCACTCCCAAAAGTCCCCAGCCACTGCACTGTGGTTGTCAAACACGGCCTCGCAGCAAGCCAGACCTTGGGCCCTTTCCAGCCCATAGTCCAGTGGCACTGAGAGGCTGTGGTCAGAGTGAGATCCACCTCTCCCCTGCCGGGGACCACAGTGGGGGTGACCAACCTGGGAAACCTCTTCTGTGGGAAACCCCTCCACACCCAACCATTTCTTATTTGCTCCCAAATGGGGCCTACGAGGTTTCTGTCAGTCAGCGAGTGCCATGCAGAACCTGGTGAGGCCCCAAGTCCCAGGCTCATTCTGAAGCCTGTGGGACATTAGGGTTGCTGCTTAGAGTCCAAGGGACACAGATGCCAATGGATCCAGCTGGCAGCAGGAGGGCTTCCTGGAGGAAGGGGAAGCGGGCCAGTTCCAAGTCAGGGAAAACAGGCAAACAAAGGCAAACTGTGAAGGGCGCGCACCCCTCCTTCTGGCTTCTTGGCCTTAGGCATATTTGCTGGCATTTTCTCAACATTTCCAGCTGGCCCTTTCTGGAGCAGTGTACCTAAAACCAAGAGTCCCTGCTCTCAGTGAGCTCGGTGCCAGCGCTCTGCCCAGAGAAAACAGGCAGGCTATGGGTAAAGAGCAGCCCTCAGGGACAGCATGCAAAGGTGCCTTTCTCCAAGTGCCTGTCCCTCAAGCTCAGTGACAGCCGTGGTTTGAGGTGGCCTTGACACTGAGACTCTTAGAAAGCGGGTGTCACAAGTACCCACATGGAACACCAGGGCCATGGTACAAGGAGCCTGCTCAAGTCACATAGTGGCAGAGCTGGGAAAGGGCCCATCTCCTGGCTGCTAGTCCAGGTAGCACCCTAGCCTTCTATTTGTCACCTGACCCTTTACGGTGTCTCGGCTGTGACTCTAGATAACCTCTATTCACATGACCACCACAGCAAGGCCACTCTGCTGAATGCATGCCTTTAACTTCCCAGCGTGCTTTTTTGACAAAACATTTTTCAAGTTGTGGTTAAATACACATAGCAACATTTACTGTCTTCACCATTTTTCAGTGTGTGCTTCCAAGGCGTTAAGTCTCTTTAAGTTGTTGGGCAGCCGTCGCCGCCATCTGTCCCCATAAGTCTCTTCATCTTGCAGAATAGAAACTCTGTATGCGTTAAATAACCAACTTGGTGCCCATCAGACCTCCCCCAGCCCCCAGAATCTGCCATTCCACTATCTGCCTTTGAATCTGACTTCTGCAGGAATCCCATATCTGTGAACTCATGGGGATTTGCCTTTTTTGTGATGGGCTTATTTCAACAGAAATATCTCCTCGGGATTCATCCATGCTATAGCATGTCAGGATGTCCTTCTTTTTTGAACATTCCACCATTAGTATATCCCATGTTTTTACCTCTCCATTCGTCTCTCCGTTGACACTTGGTTCCTTCCACATTTTAGCTATGTGATGGATGCTGCTCTGAACAAATACGCAAATATCTTCTAAAGACTGTGTTTAGAGTTCTTTTTTTTTTTTTGGTACTGGGGATTGAACTAGGGTCCCTGCGCTTGTGAGGCAGGCAGCAAAACCTCTGATCTAAATCTCCAGCCGTGCAGTTCTTTGAGATATACATCTTGAAGAGGAATTGCTGGATCTCATGGTAATTCTCTTCTTACTATCTTAAGTCCCTGCCACACTCTTGTTTTCCACAGTGGCTGCACCATTTTCCCTCCCCACCTGCTGCATGTTGGTGTTATTCTCCATGTCTTGAACAGCACCCACCCTAACAGGTGTGAGGTGGTTTGGGATGTAAGCCCACTTCCGCCTGTCCCCGTGAGCCCTGTGAGGTGAGAAGGGGCAGTCACCCTAACTGCTTAGCCCCCAGGCCCAGATGAGTACCACCTCAGTCAAGCTCCTTGACTTTCCCAGGATCCCTTTGTCCTTGAATTCACCCACTCAGCACGGCCCTCCCACAGCGCTGTCTGTGGCCTACCCTATTCCCCTCCACTGGTGGGCCTTTCGGGGCTGGGCGTATAGCTGTGCAGATTGACACTTCCCTGGGCTCACGGTCTTGGTTTGATTTCCTGTTTTGCTTTCCTGTCCTCCTCAGTGGTCCTGGAGAGTTCTGGTGGCTATTTCAAATTACTGCCTTTTCCTCAATCCCCTCTTGCCCTCAGCAGTTAACTGTGTTGGTCCCTTTGAGAGCAAGGACAGGGCCGCACGGTTGCCCCACACCCCTTGGGCCCTGTCCCATCTCCTAAACTCTCATCCTCCCCACTCCCCAGCTGAGAAACCTCTCTCCATCAGCTACAGCCTCACCCATCTCATCATACACTCAAGCTTCTCATATCCTCCCTCAGCTCCACATCCCCATGGCCCCCACCATCTCTCCCTCTTTGCAGCCAAATTTCTTGGGAGCCTCATCAGCACCTATTGTTTCCTATTTGCTCCTTCATGCCATGGAAACTGTCCTCCTCAAGGGCAGCTAATTATCTTACTACTAGGATCTTTATATAGTCCCTGTCCCACACTTGAAACTGGCAACCACTACCATGAGAACTGCCTGTAGTAATTAGTCTACCTCCTTCCTCATTCATGTCTGGCAAGGGAGAATTGGCAACCCATCATCCCGTTGAGAGCAACTAAGAATTTTCCCAGGAGCCTCCAACAGCTCTTGCCTCATGTCTCATTGGCTAGAACTGAGATATGGCAAGGGATATGGGGACGTCCATAGGCCAATCACGCCTACTCCTTGAGTTGTAGCATTTCCCAAAATGCATTGCTGTTACCTGGTGGGACACGAGTAGTGTGGATATTAGAGAACCACCCACAATGCACTACAGCCTTTAAGGGTCAATTCTCCATTCATGGCCTTCAATCCAAAATGAGATCTTAATTTCACTCAGCCTTTTTAGTCATTGGTTGGGGAAAGATCTGCCCTCTGAAGACCTTTTTCTTCTGTTACTTACCATCTTGTTTCTTTCACTTGATGCAATTTGGCCTGTATTCATTGTCCTGGGCAACAGAGCTGGGGCTTTGTGTCTGCAAATAACCAGAGCCTCTTATTCCTTGGTCTCATTCTCTGGCATTGGACATCACTCCATTTGAAAGAGAGATGTTGAGTTCCTAGGAGGCTTAGCTCATGGTGCAGCCTGCAACTTCTGCTTTCTCTTCATCAACTCTAGTACATAAAATTGCAGGTCTAGTGGGTTTGCAGGATCTGGGCTTAACAGGAGACCACAAAAGAGAAAATTCAGAGAGGTTCGAAGGTTCCATCCTACAGAGGCCTCAGCCCAGTAGGAGAGACAGTGTATGAGATGTGATCAAACTACATGGTAAACGTTTAAATTAAAAACTTTTATTGGAGTCAAAGACATATTGCCATTAATTGTCTTCAAAATACTCTCCTTGCTTCAACACACTTCTCCCATCATCCTCGCCACTTTCTGAAGCAGTTTGGGAAGTCCTGTTTTGTGTCTTTACAAGGTATGATCAAAAACACCTTGAAAGCTACTGCTGAGTGCCACGTGAGCCTTGTAAAAACACAACGCTGTGTCCCCATCCACTTAATTCACCAGGCCCGACACTGTGTGACTTTGGCTCTTCCCCAAAGTTAAAATGATCACGAAAGGTAAATGTTTAGAGTCTATTCAGGACCTCAAAGCAACCCCAACAGCACAAATAAAAGGACCTGGGATGTAGCTCAGTGGCACCATGCCTGCCTGACAAGTGCAAAGTTCTGAGTTCAATTTCTGGTGCTGAAAAACAAAAAACAGCACAACCAAAGACACTCATGAAGGAGCAGTTCTATACCCACTTCAGAAAGTGACAAAAAGGATAGAAGAAGTGTGCTCAAAGCAAGGGCCGAGGGATAGAAGCATAGGAACCAGTGAGCCATGCCTGAAACACCCTTCTCTCATCTTGGACTGTCTGGTCTAGGCCCCTTCCTGCAGGAGCCTCTGCCCCCCACCCCACTTGGGCGGGGGCTCCCCTCAGAGCTCCCATAGCCCTCTGTCAACACCTGCCACTGCGCCCAAGAGTGACCCTGTGCCCCACTCTGTCCCTGGTGCTGGGACCAGGAGCTCTCCCAGGCAGGAGCGGAGGGAATGTTGGTTGAAC